TAAAAATAAAGTATTACATAATAAAAACTCCAAATTCATTTGAACTTAGGTGTTTTTCATTCTTGCCTGGGATTTATTTTTTCCCATAGCAACGGAGGGAACAGAAATCTCTGTTATCTGTGGCTGTCATCTGATATTGCCATGTTTAGTGGAATGACAGGTGGTCACCTCAGTTGTTCCTTGGCCAGAATCATGCATTTCAGAGGTCCCTACACTGAATCTGCCCTGAATGCAAGTCAGGTGCTGAACTGGGTCTATCCGTTCCTTTCTCCGTCTTGTTTTCTGCTGCTTGAACTGTTGGCTGTTCTTTTGACTTACCTGTCTACTCCCACCCCCCATGGTAGTTTTTTAAACATCTCTTCACCACCATTATTACTCAGTTCAAATAACAGTGTTGAGAGGCTCACAGAAAAGCATGTAAATCTACTTCCAAATTAGCCACACTGTACTATACACACAAGCATTTCTTTTTAACATAAAATGTCCTAAGTACTTGCTACATGTTATGTATACCTGTTTAAGCTCATGGAGGGAGAATGGGGCAGCACGGGTGAAATTAACTCAATACATGTGGGATTTTATGAAGGGGCCGTGCTGAATTAAATCAGAGCAGGAAAGGGGGTGGCATCTATTAGTTCGGTTGTTCAATATCCCTGGAAGGAGCTATGAACCGCTAGTGCGTAGGCCCTGGGTGAGGTCACTGGGCCACTGGAGGTAGAAACTGGTCTCTGTCTCTTCCATTCTTTGTTTACTGGCTTGCCAAGTGCTCTCACCAGGGTAAATTGGTTTATCAGAGGCCCAAAGTGATGGGGCCACTCGATCAGAAATGTCACCACAAATTTCTCATGTCTGTAACCCTCATGCTTGGGAGGTAGAGAAAAGAAACCAGAAGTTCAAGGTCATGCTTCAGTTACATAGTGAGTTTCAAGCCAGTCAGTGATACACAAGACCTCCCCTCAAAAAAGGAAAGCAATCACGTGCTGTGTATGGAGTGGAGGTAGCTGCCTGTGCTCTCCCGGCTGCTGAACACAGGAGCTGCACATGGTCTCTGGCTACACAACAGCCTGCCTGACTAGTGCACTTGATATGGCCTTTGCTGTTCAGATGACAAGTTCCTCACCGCGTTCTCTGGGTTGTAGGGACAGTTGAAGACAGTCTGCGTAAAATAGGTTTTAATTGCACGTGACATTATAAAACTAAGTAGAGGGACTTTGTTTTTGCTATGACAATCAATTTAATCTTTCCCTTCCTACCTCCGTGTCTTTTTCCCTTGCCAAGTATTTATTCATCCAGAGATTAAATATACCATTTAGTGGAAATACATGCAATCTGGATCCATTATTATAGTAATTACCCTTTAGTAGGTGAGATAGTCAAAGAATTTCTAAGAATAATTTTCCAAATGTATTTAGCATTAAAAATTATTTCAAAGTGTATATGTATGTGTATGTATGTGTGTACATGTGTATATTGTGTGTATGTGTATATGCGTGTGTGTATGTGTATTGTGTGTACATATGTGTATGTGTGTCATCTGTGTGTGTGTGTGTGTGTGTGTGTGTGTGTGTGTGTGTGTGTGTGAATGTGGGCACCAGGAGAGTTCAGAAGGGGGTGTGAGATACTCTGGAGCTGGAATTACAAGTGGTCATCAGCCGCTTGGCTTGGGTGCTGAGAACTGAATCTGGGTCCTTCGCAAGTGTAGCATGTGTTTTTAACTGATGAGCTACCAGTGCAAGTGTGATTGTTGTCTAAATGAGAGTGATTTACATTTATTAAAACTTAAGATCTAGGTCTTTGATTTAATAGGATGGGAGAAGGATGTGTGAGGTAGAACTTAGCTCTTAAAAGAGGAATAAGAATTACCTGGAAGTGGGAAGAGAAGAGTGTCCCGGCAAAGGATTGCTGTAGAATAGTTTAAGGTGTGTTACTTTTGTTTACGTTGCATCTGTTTAACTCTGTGAAGCTGTGTTACTGTGCCTGTCTAAAACACCTGATGGTCTAATAAAGAACTGGCCACTAGTGAGGCAGGAGAAAGGATAAGTGGGGCTGGCAGGCAGAGAGAATGTACATATATGGAGAAATCTGGAGAGGGAGAGTAGAAGGAGGCAGAGAAGGAGGAGGACTCCAGGATCCAGCCACCCAGCTACACAACCAGCAAGCCACGGAGTAAGAGTAAGATTTACAGAAATAAGAGAACAGGAAAAGCCCAGAGGCAAAAGGTAGAGGGGATAATTTAAGATAAGGAAAGCTGGCTAGAAACTAAGCCAAGCTAAGGCCAAGCATTCACAAGTAAGAATAAGCCTCCATGTGTGATTTATTTGTGAGCTGGGTGGTGCCCCCCCAAAGAGCCAAAAAAAAAACCCCAACAATAAAGGATCAGCAGTTACAAGGGTCCTGTGGTAGCAAGAGCTGGCTGTACAGAAAGTTTGAGTGCTTAGCCCTGAGTGTCCAAGAAGGGCACAGAGAGGAGAGGAAGGTGGAAAGGGGGACTCAGCGCACAGCAGAGCTTTTTTCTTATGCCTAAGGGCAGACTGCAAAGGAGAGAGGTCTCATAAGGAGGCTGAGGACTGAAAGAGCTGGGTGAGCCAGACAGGGCAGCTGATGGTCAGCTGAGCCAGACAGCAGTGATGCAGCCATAAAGACAGGGTCAAGGAGATGCTGGGAAGACACATGTAGGCCACGGGCAGTGGATCTTCAAAGATCACTCTTTGTTGCAGTTCACAACCTGGCTAGGCTCTCATCCCCGCAGAACGAGCTGGTGGCATTTGTATGAGTTGCTGGCGGTAAGGAAGTTCGTGAGTTTGAGCTGAGATACCATCAAACCTTCAAGGAGTTTCGGAGCTTTAAGTTTGGTTCTGTTTCTGCCCATACCCTACCTTGAATTTTCCCCTTTTTTGTGCTGAACTATTGTTATATTAAAATAAATAATCTTCTCAGACTATGAAAGCCAATTGCTGCTGCCTAGGGCATCATCCAGCACTTCTGGCCTGAGATTTAACCTCCCTTGATAAAATCCCAGAACCCACCATCTGCCCAGGGTGGTTGCTTGTCACAGATCTTCTGATGTGGATTCTGCCAGCATCTCCTTGCCATCTCTCCTCCAATCACCTCCTCACCTAAGAACTTCCAGCCCCTGCTGTGGCCGGCACCACAATAGGAAGACCCACAATCCCTTTCTTCCACCCGTTCATCCCTTTCTTTCTCCGGATCACGCGGAGCTGCAAATCTGAGAACCATACACCAGATGGCGCCAAAACACTGCATTCCAATACAGCGCATCCGTCCCGCCTGTTAAGAGGGCTGGAAAGCTTTTGTTATTTTGAAATTATTATTCACAACTCCAGATATAAGTTCAACATGCACTAAAATCCACACTTCAACTTCCTAGAACATACTGGGTTTACAGAAGGAGAGAGAGAGAGAAAGAGGGGGGAGAGGAGAGGAAGAGACAGGGATTGAGACAGACATGGAGAAGGGGATAGAAATAAAAAGAGGAGGGTGAGATGGAGAGAAAAATGGAGAGAGGGAGAGAGAAAACGACAGGGGGCAAGGGGGTAGAGAGAAGGAGAAGGGGCGAAGGAAGAGGGGCGGTATGAGGAGAAAAGGGAGGCGGCGCGGACGGTGGGACGAGGGAACCTTTGTTAAGAATGGTGTATTTTTGTAGTTTGCTTACTTGGATTTTTTTTTCCCTCTATAGGCTCAGGCCAGAGGACTAGGAAACATGGCAAAGGGGAGCACGTGCCAGTGCCCTGATGTTTGGCCCTGCGCAGAAGCTCTGCTTGTCACAGCCCTACATTTTTACCTACAATAGAAATGCAATGGCTTTCTTTACTCAGCAACTAATACAAATGAAAATCATTCCAGGCACCTAACTAAACATAGGAATACAATTAACTGACTCTTCTTACTTTAAAATGCAATTATCATTTTTCTTTCATTTAAAACTTAGTTATTATTGATATAAACAGCATGGATGGTGATTTCTATTAGTGAAACAGTTAATAAAACTAATGAAAATAGACCTTCTTACTATTATGTCCAAGCTACAGAATAGGCAGTTTTTGTTGTTGTTTTTTTTCCAGTTAACATAATTAGCTGTCAGTGGTATGCATAGTACAGTTTAAGAAACTTTGATGTCTTTAAGAATTCTAGTGGTCTTATAATGACTTAAAACATATCACCTATTAGTAAATTTGGAAAAAAAATGGGTAAAAAAATTTGTGGAAGAGAAAATCTGCAAAAAAAAAAAAATTTCAAATTTGGAAATTTGGAGCTTGGTATGATCGTGCATCCTCCTGTAATCCAGCACCCAGGAGCTGGAGGGAAGAAGGTCAGAGGAATATGGCTAGACTCTCAGCTACACAGACTGCTGGAGGTCAGCCAGTGCTGTGTGAGACCCTGTCACAGACAAAGAAACAAAATAAAGCAACAACACAACAAATCCATCTGATTGCTGCGTTGCCAGAGTAGCTGACTGTGGGTAAAGGGATGGTGGACATTAACCTCATTGAGTCTCTTTCCTGGGAGAGGCAGAAATATTATCTGGGCAAGTGTGGAGCAGGAGACACATTTAGAAAGTGGGACTATGTTAAGAAACACGGTAATAGATAGTGCTAGTTTTATATGTGTAGTTTTGTTGTATTTTGTGAACACACATTTGTGATATAGCAATTGTAGCACGCGGGTACAGTTCATAAACACCCATTTTCAGTAAAAGTGCATTTTTGTGGAAGGTGCCGTATTTTTCCACGGCAGGGAACAGAATGTGGCTTGCTGCCCAGCTTATATGAACTCTGTCTGCTTCCTTACCCCTGGGGAGTCATCTGAATGTCCACAGCTCCCAAAGTGCTTTGGGTTCACTCAGGCTAAAGGATGCCATTTATCGTGAAGCTATCTCATTGTATTCCCAAGGGAGTTTCATCGTTTTGTATTTGTGAAAACTGTCAGTGTGTCTTTCTCAAAGTGCAATTATCTGAACTAAGCAAACCCACACAGATGGATTTGTCTTGTCTACAACGTCATTTTATTAAGAGCAAATTAGACTGGAAAAAATGATCGCCTAAAATGCATTTTCAATAGATTGCTGTCAGGCTTGCTACCTGTCAAACAGAGAGGCCTGAAGTTTCCCAGTGACACATGGATTAGCCCAGTCTTCCCTGCAGTGTGGAAACAAAAGGCAATTGGTGATGCTTGGGGCAAGCGCATCTTAAAACAGAGACATCCACAAAAGAATATGACAGCATGAAAAGACAGAATGGAGTCTGCTGGCCACGTCTGCAAAGAGACTCCGTCTGAGTCTGTGACTTCAATATACCCTGAGACAGAAAAAGAGAAAACACATATTAAGTGTAATTGTTCATCGGTACTTTGCTTTAGCAAACGCCGATTTCATGCTCAAAAAGGGGAACAGGTGGGAACAATAGATAAAATTGGTACCGTTACAAAAAGTTATTAAGAAAACACCTATGGAATTAGAATTACTTGATTTAAAAAAAATCCATCATTGAGACTTGAGTGTTCAAATTTCCCATCTGCTAATTAATCAAAAAATAAAGACTTAGAGTCACAGAAGAACTGAACATCAAAAACTGTTTTCTCAGATAAACTTTAAGCTGGGCTGGTGAAATCTGATTGCTCAAGACTTGTTTGGAAAATAAATATATCAAAGTTTGGGAAAATCATAAAGATAGCCTTAGTTCTGGGGGAATAATTTCTTTTTCTTTCTTTCTTTCTTTCTTTCTTTCTTTCTTTCTTTCTTTCTTTCTTCCTTTCTTCCTTTCTTCCTTTCTTCCTTTCTTCCTTTCTTCCTTTCTTCCTTTCTTTCTTTCTTTCTTTCTTTCTTTCTTTCTTTCTTTCTTTCTTTCTTTCTTTCTTCCTTCCTTCCTTCCTTCTTGCCCTTTGTAAATAACACAGCAACCCGTCTAAGCAATATGTTTCAATTAAACAGATATGAAGTTCCTCTAATAGCCACATTAACCCATGTTTCCTAACGGCTCCACAACCAAGTATAAGAATGCAGTGCAGGAGTCTGAGAAGGAACACGATGCTGGGATTATAGGAGCTGCATTTCCAAAGTCTCTATCAGATGCTATCAAATCCAAACCAAGGCTGTGTTGTCACACTGTGCCACTGGGAAGCCAGTAGAGCTCAGTGGAGGAACACAGAGAGATACTTGCCATACATCCTCAAGGAATTTGCCTGCTGGGTGTCCAACCTCCAGCTTTGTGACAATTCCCTTACTTGGAGTCAGGGAGAATTCTGCAGAAGGAGCAGGTCTTGAAGACCCATTGTGGTGATCCTGAAATGAGTCATACCCCCCAAAGCCCACTGGAAACAATGACATTTCATACAGAGGAGGCATATTTCCTAGTTAATATGTTAGGTTTGAAGCATAGAAAAACAAGGTAAATAAATGTCGGGGTCCATTGGTTATGCTAGAGGTCATGTCTGTGAAGCAATGTGAAAGAATCCATGAGGATCTAAAATAACTTAAGAAATTAGAATCCAGCAGTTAGGAGCTGGGGAAAGGGCTCATTGGTTTGGAACACTCAGCAGGTTGGCGCTGTGTAAATACGAGGATCTGAGTTCAAATCCCCAGCACCCACATAACAACAACAGTAAAACAGGCCCAGGCCTGGCTGGCAGAACTCCAGGGCATGTGAGGCAGAGACAGGAGGATTACTGGTGATTACTGACCACAAGCCTAGCTCCAGGCTCAGTGAGAGACCATCTTTCAAACGAACAAGAGGGGGAGTGAAAAGGCAGGATGTTCAGTGTCTCCCTCAGTACTCTGCATGCACACTGGTGCACTGTTGGTACATTGTTTGCTCGTACACCACACACATCCATAGAGCACACATGTGGAAAAAAGAATTCAGTAGGGCAGTGGCATTATCTACATCACAGCTGTGCTTTCCAGCGTAATTCTGCCTGGAGAACTTATTTGCCCCAGGACTATGGAGTGGTCTAAGCATGCAAAGAAATGATGCCACACGCTTCTTTCAGTTAATATCTTTGTGCTTTCTCTATTGATCAAGTCTCTTGTCTGCAAATGTCTCTCTTTCCCGCAGGAATCCGCCTTGATTTCTCATTTGAGAAGTGTAAACTCACACCCCAGAAGCCTCAGTGTGTGCTCTTCTGCTGTAATTATCGCTGGTTTTGTTGTTATTAGATTTCCCCAGTCATCGTACCGATAAGTTAGATTATAGTGCTATATCAGTATTAGCACAGTGTGTTAGATGTGGTTGTTTCCAATAATATGAAACAGTCAATATTTGATTATTCAAACAAAGGGTGATTTGCTCTCATTGAGCACAATGTCCATTTATCCAGGACTCTTAGAGTGGCTCTTCGTGTGTTGGGAGTGGGATGCTTTGTCTTCTGAGAATCCGTCTGCGGCTGTGATTTCCACTCACACTGTCCTCTCATGGACCCAACACGCTCCACCTCTGGCCTTTCTGAGCATTGTGGATAGAAAAGAAAGGGCAAAGGAGTGCTGCACTTGTCTGGAGAGTAAACCTTTCCCCCATGTGGCCCCAGGCATCTCCTGCTTACATTTCAGTAGCTGCACGGTGCCAGATAACCACCCTAGCTTGAAAACCAACTTTTAGTTGGACTCAGAACCAATATTCTGTTTGCATGGAAAAAGAGGCAAAATATTGACAATTGGCAGGTTCTCCCCTACACTGACATTTTACAGACTTGAGGTAGAGTCTAATAGGATATGCATTTTAAAAAGGATTCAGTAGGCTGGCAAGATGGCCCGGCAGGTCCTGGCACTTGCTGCCAAGTCTGACATACTGAATTTGATTCCTGGAACCCAAGATGGAAGGTGGGAGCTTATTCCTCACCTTAGTCCTCTGATCTCTACACATATTCCTTGGCATGCCTTATGTCTGTCTCAAATAAACAAACAAACAAATAAAATCTCTCTAAAATGATTCACTATTCAACAGCTAATGGTATAAAATATCTCAGGGGCTTATAGACTGATGGAAGAGGGGTGGTTTAAATTTTGAGTTGGGAATATAGAAAAGTTGTAGTATTCTGTTTTGTTTTTTAACCAAAGTACATTAAATTGTTTTTAAATTTCAAAAGTGAGGTTGACTTACTGAAATGAAGGAGAAAAAGCATAAAACAACACTAAAGTGATGGACTAGTCCTTCGTTGCTCGAAACCAGAGCTCCCTGGGTGAGCTGGGTGAGCTGCACCTGTCTGAGCCCCGCTTAGTGTGGTAGGCTGGGCCACAGATAGAGCAGGAAAATTCCAGCTGATGCTGCAACCCACATGGGTTGGCCATATGGCCTAGTCTAGCTACATGGGTGTGATGGGGTTCCATACTGTCCGACTCCACTGTTAACAACCCACAGAAATATGCATGAGCAGCAGGCATGATGGAGTGGGGGAGCTTGAGTGATACTCAGTCTTCATAGCTGTTCTTCCTGATCTTATATGAGTCATTGAACCATGGGAATATTTTATTGTTCGGTTAAGCTCATGGGCAAATTAGAAGACGTTAGTAATGGAGCTCAGTAAAACATCCAGGAAATGTTATTTCCAAACAGGATGTGTGTCAGCATTACTACAGTGTCGAAGTATTTTCCTTGGCCAGTTAAGAAAGTTCCCACTTCCCAATGACTCCAATAGAACAAAAGGAGGGATGGAAAGTGTTTGGGATCTTTAAAAATCAAAATCACATTTGACCAGTGTGGATGAGACCCTGTGGATCTCCACCTGCAGGTACTCAAATATTTACATGGAAGAAATTGAGCCATGTTCTAAAGTATTCCTTGCGTTTTATTTTTCTAGATCAAATGGGAAAAAGTTTGATTTCAAATGTGTGTGCCAGAGACATAATATTCTGACATGTTGGAAGTCTTTGTGACACATTGTGACACTGGTCTACCTTTGTAATAAATCATGGGCACTAAACACAGTACCCATGTGCAGGGTTCACTCAGAGGAGAGCAGTGCAGTAACAATGTCTGCCTTGATGAAGGGAGTTATCCTTGATCTCCCTGCCCTGTCTCAGCTAGGAGCAATTCCCAAAGCAGCTAGCCTTCACTGCATCACAGTTCCCACACTGGTCCTCAGTTCTAGTTCCCACATTCAATCAGCGGTTCTCAACCTGTGGGTTGCGACCTCTTTAGGGCTCACATATCAGATATTTACATTACAATTTATAACAGTAGCAAAATTACAGTTATAAAGTAGCAACGAAATAGTTTTATCACTGGGGATCAGTCACCACAACATGAGAAACTGTATTAAAGGCTTGCGGCATTAGGAAGGGCGAGAACCACTGCTTTAAATGATCTCTGATGTGCACTAAAGAAAAGGTTCCATGAAGATTTTCCTAATTGTTAAAGCTTAGGTAGATTCTAACACATTCCTTTTATGCCTCCCACATAATTTTCTATTTGTGCGATATATTGAGTTTCTATTCCAATTTTCCTTAATTTTACTTAAGGGACATTTAGTACTTGATAACAGCTTTTTCTAAATTGATTCATCAGAACTTTTGCTTTTCTGCCATTAATTCTCAGCTTTTAAAATGAGGCTGAGCAATGGCTGGTGCTTTGCCTTTGGTGTATTCTGCTGCTCAGGTGACCTTCATCTCCACCTCTATGCCACCCTCTTTTCCTCCCATCATTCTCTTCTCTCTGCTGCTGTCCTCAAACACTGACCAAAACCACCTCAGCGCAGGAAAGGGTTTGTTTGACTTTCAGGTCACAGTCCACCTTGAGGGAAATCAGGGCAGGAACTTTGGCAGACACTCGAAGCAGAAAACATGTAAGAATACTGTCAGCTCACTGGCTGACTGGTTCAGGCTCATGATCCGCTCGATTCCTCAGATAACCCAGAATCAGCTAAGCAGGGAATGGTAACATCCCCAGGGAGCTGGATCCTCCTACATTAGTTAGCAACAATCAAGACAATCCTTCACAACCATGCTCAGACCAACCCGGTAAAGACAGTCACTCAATCTAGACTCACTTTTTTGTTTCTGGTGATTCAAGGCCCTGCTGTTGACAGTTGATGCTAACCAGGACTCTGGTTCTGTGCTGCACTCACCTGGGGGACTTCTGCCTGCTCCCTTTTCTAGATGAGCTCCTCCTAACATCTCCTCCAGGAAGTCAATCATTCTCTCGACCCCCCAAATTTAAGCGCACATCCTCCTTTTCTTTTCCATCCAACAATGTTGATACTTACATTAATTATTCCTCTGTAGCATCTATAATGAGGTATGTCTTACCAGGCCAGGTTTTGTTCTGTTCTCCTAAGTCTTGCTAAGCAGCAGGTCTGAGGGATTTCCAGCTGCAGGGGCCCACTCTCATTTTCTGGAATGCAGCAACAGTGTGTGGATGATTATAAGAGTCCTGCAAAGGCCAAGTCTCTAGGTTGGGACAGATGTCCATGGCTGGGTGGTCGCTTGACAGAATGCTGGCTGCTCATGAAGGGAAACGCTCCGTGGATGCGGCTGCCAGTGGGAGGAGTTGCTGGCATTATCTCAGGTGCAGGCTGGTGGCTCAAGGATGAAAACTCAGCTCCCTTTCAGCCCTGAAAGCTTGAACAATGTCACAGCTGCCCTTTGCTGAGAATGTTTTGTGTTCCGCATGCCTTTAGCAGGCTTGGCCCGTCCTCCATTTCTCATTAGGCTCATGCTCTCCCTTTCATGTGTCATCCTTGCTTTGGAAAAGGGAATCTCCATCTTTCAAGCAAATGTTTTATCCATTACAGGAGTTCACCGAGTCCTCCAGGCTTAAATCTTCGGCAAAGTCAGAAAGAAGCAGATCTTTTTTCTCTCCTTTGCTTTCACCCAATTATGCTGCTCTCCTGGGTAACACAGCCAGAGTGGAGCAGGTGCTTTTCTGTGGGGTGACAGAAAGGTGGGAAGCACACAGTCTGTAAAAGGAAAGGATGCTGGTGAATATGTCAAAACACAGCCTGAAGGATTTGACTATCACTCAGTGGCCAGAAGCCCTATGCTATTCACCTCTGCGGTTACCCTCACTTTCTCCTGCCATGCTGTCCTGCTTACTAGGGGATCAGGAGGTATCACTCTTTTGGACAAATGGACAGCCCATTGCTACTCTTTTTAGGTGAAATTTCAGAGTATTCAGTGAAGGCCTTGGGATGCTGAGTGAGCAGGTCTACAGAGTCTTCCGATAATCAACTTCTCCCTGCTCCATAGTCCCATTTCTCCAGAGAATCCAGGGTTAGCAGCAGCAGCAGCAGGAAGCCAGCAGCAGCAGCAGCAGCAGTAGCAGCAGCAGCAGCAGCAGCAGCAGAGGCAACAGGCTAGCTTCTCTCCATCTGCTTCCTTGGGGGGAAAACTAGTGCTGAAAGGACATTCTCAAGGGAGCAAACACATCTGCTGTCACATCTATCCGCGTAGAGTCCCAGGCAACAGGGAAGAAACAGCCAACCTCTTCCTTTCCTCTGGATCTTGGTTTATTTTGGACGCATTTTTGAGTGGTGGTGATGCTGTGCCTTGCCACTGGGATGCCACCTCCGGCGGCACTTCCTTCCCGACTCCAGCCCCATCCTTCCTGCTTGTCATCTGGTTCTTGGAGCCAGAGAAACTAGACTATTTCTATCTGAGCATCTGTGTTTCTGACTGAGCTGGTGTTTTGGCCAATGGAAGTGTGAGGAAGATGTGCTGCAAGTTTCTGTGCCGTCAATTGCTTGGTGGGCACCGAAGCAGGGGCCAGTACTCGACGCTGCCTTCAGCACACACAGAATTGTGGAAGGGACTAACCCAGTCTTTGAGAGTGTTGCCAGGAGGAAAACCCTTGAACAGATCGTGCATATTCTTCATGTATTTTCTCTCTATAAATGAAATGAAGAGTAAATCCAATCATATTTAATTTCTCCAGCCTTCAAGATACTATTATCAACCACATATGACTTTACAGTAATGATTATTTTTTGATTACTTTATTTTTCTCTTATTTTTGATATTATAATATAATTGCATCACCTCTCCCTCATTTTTATTCATCTGGGAAAAGGTCCTGATTTACTGTAAGATCTTGAATTATAAAAAATTCAAACGTTGTTGGGCAATGGTGTCTCATGCCTTTAATCCCAGCACTCAGGAGGCAAAGGCAGGTGGATCTCTGAGTTTGAGGCCAGCCTGGTCTATGGATTGAGTTCCAGGACAGCCAGGGATATGCAGAGAAACCCTGTCTCAAAAAAAACAAAAAGAAAAAATTCAGGTTTTTTTATGAGTAATTCTTAATTTATTTTATGTGACTATTTTTTTTCAAAAAGGAAAATGTGATTCTAGTTTAGTGCTTTGAGGTAGGGCCAGGACATCCTCATGCTTCAAGTCTTTCCAGGTTATTTTCTATTCAGTCAGGTTGATAGTCATTGGCTGAGAGTGGGCAAGGCCCTCTAAAATACACTGGCCAGTGTAAGTTTTTTTTTTAAATTTTTTATTCATTTTACATACCAACCACAGTTCCCTCTCCCACACCCCCACCTCCCCTCAAGCCCACCCTCCATTTACTCCTCCAAAAGAGTAAGGCCTCCATGTGGAGTTAACAAAGCCTGGTATATCCAGTTGAGGCAGGACCAAACCCCTCCCCGCTGCATCAAGGCTGAGCAAGGCATCCCATCATAAGGAATGGGCTCCAAAAGGCCAGTTCATTCACCAGGGATGGATCCTGATCCCACTGCCAGGAGCCCCCCAAACAGACCAAGCTACATACTATCTCCCACATGCAGAGGGCCTAGTTAGGTTCCATGCGGGCTCCATAGCTGTTAGTCTACAGTTCATGAGTTCCAGTGAACTTGGTTCAGTTGTCTCTGTAGATTTGTCAAAGATGCTTTCTTTTTTCCATTTTACAGTTTTGGCTTCTTTATCAAAAATCAGATGTTTATAGGTGTGTAGATTAATGTCAGGGTCTTCAATTTGATTCCATTGGTCCACTGTCTGTTTTTATGCCAATACTAAGCTGTTTTTATTGCTATAGCTCTATATAGAGCATGAAGTCAGGGATGGTGATGCCTCTAAAACTTCCTTTATTGCACAGGATTGTTTTAGCTGGGTTTCTTGTTTTTCCATATGAAGTTGAGTATTTCTCTTTCAACGTCTGTGAAGAATTGTGTTGGGATTTTGATGGGGATTGCATTGAATCTGCAGATTGTTTTTAGTAAAATTGCCATTTTTATTATTCTGATTCTACCTATCCAGGAGCATGGGAGATCTTTCTATTTTCTGATATCTTCTTCAATTTCTTTCTTCAAGGACTTAAAGTTCTTGTCATATAAGTCTTTCACTTGTTTGGTTAGAGTTACCCCAGGAATTTTATATTATTTGTGGCTACGGCAAAGCATGATGTTTCTCTGATTTCTTCCTCGGCCCGTTTATCATTTGTATATAGAAGGGCTACTGATTTTTTTTTAGTTAATCTTGTATTCTGCCACATTACTGAAGGTGTTTATCAGCGGTAGGAGTTCCCTTGTAGAATGTTTGTGGTCACTTGTGTATACTATCATATCATCTGCAAATAGGGAAAGTTTGACTTCTTCCTTTCCAATTTGTATCCCCTTGATCTCCTTTTGTTGTCTTACTACTCTAGCTAGAACTTTGAGTGCTATAGTGAATAGATATGGGGAGAGTGGACAGCCTTGTCTTGTTCCTGATTTTAGTGGAATCACTTTGTGTTTCTCTCCATTTACTTGCATGTTGGTTGTCGGCTTGCTGTAAATGGCCTTTATTATGTTTAGGTATGTTCCTTGGATCCCTGATCTCTCCAAGACCTTTATCATGAAGGAGTACTAGATTTTGTTGAAGGCTTTTTCAGCATCCAATGAGATGATCATGTGTTTTTTTTTTCTTTCTTTCAGTTTGTTTATATGCTGGATTATATTGACAGCTTTTCATATGTTGAACCATTCCTGCATCTCTGGGATGAAGCCTAATTGATCATGGTGGATGATTTTTTTTTATCTGTTCTTGGATTCGGTTTACCAATATTTTATTGAGTAGTTTTGCATCAATGTTCCTGAGGGAGATTGGTCTGTAATTCTCTAACTTTGTTGCATCTTTGTGTGGTTTGGGTATCAGGGTAACTGTAGCCTCATAAAAGGGGTTTGGCAATGTTCCTTCTGTTTCTATTGTGTGGATCAATTTGAGGAGTATTGTTATTAGTTCTTCTTTGAAATTCTGGTAGAATTCTGTGCTGAAACCATCTGGTCCTGAGCTTTTTTTGGTGGGGAGACTTCTGATGACTGCTTCTATTTCCTTAGGGGTTATAGATCTATTTAAACAAGTTATCTTGTCTTGATTTAATTTGAGTATGTGGTACCTACCGAGAAAGTTGTCTATTTCTTTTAGATCTTCTAATTTTGTGGTATACAGGTTTTTGAAGAATGACCTGATGATTCTCTGAATTTCCTCATTGTCAGTTGTTCTCTCTCTCTTTTCATTTCTGATTTTGTTAATTTGAATATTCTCTCTCTGCCTTTTGGTTAGTTTGGATAAGGATTTGTCTATCTTGTTGATTTTCTTGAAAAACCAACTCTTTGTTTCATTGATTCTTTGTATTGTTCTCTTTGTTTCTATTTTATTGATTTCAGCCCTCAATTTGATTACTTCTGGTAGTCTACTCCTCCTGGGTGAGTTTGCTTTTTTTTTTTGTTGTTCTAGAGCTTTCAGGTGTGCTGTCAAGTTGCTAGTGTGAGATTTTTTCACTTTCTTTATGTAGGCATTTAGTTCTATGAACTTTCCTCTTAGCATTGCTTTCACAGTGTCCCATAAGTTTGAGTATGTTGTGCATTCATTTTCATTGAGTTCTAGGAAGTCTTTAATTATTTCTTCCTTGACCCAGTGATGATTCAGTTCAGCATTATTCAATTTCCATGAGTTTGTAAGTTTTCTGCCATTAGTGTTGTTGAATTCTAACCTTCAGCCATGGTGATATGATAAGATGTAGGGGGTTATTCCAAGTTTTTTGTATCTGTTGAGGTTTGCTTTATTACTGAGTATGTGGTCAATTTTAGAGAAGGTTCCATGAGCTGCTGAGAAGAAGGTATATTCTTTTGCGTTTTGATAAAATGTTCTACAGATGTCTATTAAGTCCATTTGAGTCATAATATCTGTTAGTTCCCTTATTTCTCTGTTAAGTTTCTATCTGGCAAACTTATCCAGTGGTGAGAGTGGGGTATTGAAGTCTCCCACTATTAGTGTGTGGGGTTTGATGTGTGGTTTACACTTTAGTAATGTTTCTTTTACAAATGTGGATGCTCTTGTATTTGGGGCATAGATGTTCAGAATTGAGACTTCATCTAGCCGGGCGATGGTGGTGTACGTCTTTAATCCTAGCACTTGGGAGTCAGAGCCAGGCGGATCTCAATGAGTTTGAGGCCAGCCTTGTCTACAGAGTGAGATCCAGGACAGGCACCAAAACTGCACAGAGAAACCCTGTCTCAAAAAACCAGAGAGAGAGAGAGAGAGAGAGAGAGAGAGAGAGAGAGAGACTTTATCATGATGGATTTTTCCTGTGATGATATGAAATGTCTTTCTCCATCTCTTTTGATTGATTTTAGTTTGAAGTCTATTTTGTCAGATATTAGGATAGCTATACCAGCTTGTTTCTTAGGACCACTTGATTGGAAAAATCTTTTTCCCAGCCCTTTACTCTCAGGTGGTATCTGTCTTTGAGGTTGAGGTGTGTTTCTTGTATCCAGCAGATGGATGGGTCCTGTTTTCATACACATTCTGTTAGCCTGTGTCTTTTTATAGGCAAATTGAGTCCATTGGTATTAAGGGACATTAATGACTAGTGATTGTTAATTCCTGTTATTTTTGGTTTTGTTGTTGTTTGTGGTAGTGTTTGTGTGTTTCCCTTCTTTGGGGTTTGTTGATGTAAAGTTACATATTGCCTGTGTTTTTGTGGGTGCAGCTAATTTCCTTGGGTGGGAGTTTTCCTCTAGTACTTCCTGTAGGGCTGGATTTGTGGATAGGTATTGTTTAAATATGATTTTGTCATGAAATATCTTGTTTACTCCATCTATGGTGATTGAAAGCTTTGCTGGGTATAGTAGTCTGGGCTGGCATCAGGGGTCTCTTAATGTCTACAAAATGTCTGTCCAGGATCTTCTGGCTTCCAGAGTCTTCATTGAGAATTTGGGTATAATTCTAATATGTCTGACTTTATATGTTACTTGGCTTTTTTCCTTTGCACCTCTTAATATTCTTTTTTTATTCTGTATGTTTAGTGTTTTGATTAATACATGGAGAAGGGACTTTTTTGTCCAGTCTATTTGGTGTTCTGTAAGCTTCTTGTACCTTCATAGGCATGTCCTTCCTTAGATTGGGAAAGTTTTCTTCTATCATTTTGTTGAATATATTTTCTGTGCCTTTGAGCTGAAATTCTTCCCCTTCTTCTATCCCTATTATTCTTAGGTTTGGTCTTTTCATGGTTTTCCAGATTTCCTGGATGTTTTGTGTTAAGTGTTTGTTGGATTTAACATTTCCTTTGACCGATGAATCTGTTTCCTCTATTGCATCTTCAACACCCG